AGTCCACTTTGAACCACCATGATTAAGTCTTCTACAAAGTCCAGCTAAAGACTTTAAATTAAGGCTCCATTTGGGAGCCATTCTTTTTTCAAATAATACATTTTTTCTTTCAAATCAAGTGGGGTCCATGGCTGGAAAGAGACAAAAAATGTGTGATTCGACACAAATAATGCATTTTTTTAAAGAAAAATGGTTACCAAACGGAGGCTAAGCGCTTATTGGGAGACAACCAAATTTCTTACTCTTTTATTTGCATTACATGTAATATTAGATTGCATTAGTTTTAGGCATTTTTTATTCAAATAAAAGGGTCATCATATCCATATTTAGCCTAGAAAAAGAAGATTTTATTTGAGTCGAAAACAATAAAAAGAGCATGTAACGCATTTTTCAAAGCTCCGTGGACGTAAAAAGCTGGTTAACATGCCACATTCTAGCTTTTAAACTAATTTTTGACTCTTGTATTTGTTTCCTTTCATCTTTCAAAGGTATAAGGATATCGAACGGGAGGAATGCATAATACGTTGAAGAATGGAATGAATAGATCCAACAAGCTTACCTCCAATATCAGACAAAAAATCGGGGAGATAGAAGAAGGAAAGAAAAGATAGGGAAATACAACAATCTAATATGAAATTTACATTGAGGACTATGTCTAATTTAAGTTTGGCGTGAAAAAAATATTAAATTTTTAGTTTTATTATTTATGTGTAATTGTGTGCTTATTGGTTTATTATACATGAAAAAATTCCAAACAAATACACATGAGTTAAGCTTAGCATTATGAAGTAATTAGCCTATTCATATGCTTGATAGGTTGAAATATTTGACCTTAGATGCTAACAAAAAAAAATACTACATTATACAACCCTTAGACCAAATTTAGTATAGTTTGGAAGTGATTGAATTATTGTAGGAAGGGAATTCATGTGTATAAATTCTTATGTGGATTGTCTAATGCTTACAAGATGAGAATTAGGTAAAAATCTTAAGTTAGTGGTCGGTTTTTTAGAATGTATTTAATGAGGGGCATTACACTAATCGTGGCAAAAAAAAAAGGGAAAAAAGTTATCTAATTGTGGAATGTCTCTTTATAGAATGATAAGTCTGCAAGGATATTTAAAACTTGGTACCCTATTGTCTTCTGACTTAAGAGTCATTGACCAAAAACTTGCTATAAGGGTCATTTAGAAAGTACTAGTCCGACGCACATGCAATGTATGTGCTACCAGCATAGTTGACTATTTAATAGCGTGGTTGTAAATCTATTACACAGGAAACTTGTTTAGTAAAACAACAATGAGCAAAGGAGAATTTTCAATTTTGCATAGAAAAAGGAAAGCAATACCCATTTTTCCAGCAAGATAACGACCATTTATTGATTGAGAAGCCAGCACAGCAGAATCCAAGGACTTATAGTGCACATACACGTTTCCCCGCAAATGATATGAACCATTTCTACAAACCTAAGCCATGGCCACTTAATTGTCATGCATCAAAGCTGCAAAGGAAGATAATTGTCAACCAGCTATAATAGTATTCTCATAAAAACAGACACCTTCAGATAAAAAGCAGGAAACGATGCATCAAAACTCTACAAGCCTTAGTGGTGACATAAATAAATTGAGATTGGGACATGATCATGAATCATGAATTACCAGTGAGATTAAGGAGAACACTAAGAAATTAATGAAAAGTCTATCAAGCTTTATTGTCAACATGACACTAAGAAATTAATGAAAAGTCCATCAAGCTTTACTGTCAACATTTGGCATATGTACATTAAGAAATCCAGTAAAAAAAATTTATGAAAAGGAGAAGCTCAAAAAGATTAGAAGTAAAGTAAAAATATATCTTGCATGCATTTTGATAACTAGCTGAATATTAAGAGCATGTTTGGTTTTGCTTAAAAGTTTTTTTTTTTTTAAGAAAGTACTTAAATACTTGGAATGCATTTACCTAAAAGTTCAGTTCTAATAAAGAACGATCTTAAAAGAAATTTTGAAACAGGCATATTTCGCTAAGTAATTACAGCCACTCACCAAGTATACCACATGTTTAGCAGTGAGCAACTGAAAAGTATTCGGGATCTCAATATTAACGGCTTTCCACTCTACCAAACGGACATCGTTTCTCTCCTCAAGCACTGATTTGACCTTGTCAATCCAATAATAACCGACATTCAATATCAAAGACATATATCATATACTGTACTATGCATTTCAAAAAACCATAATTTCACCAAACTAAAAGAAATGCAATGAAATTGTAGATAACATGTAGCTTTGCTTCCTCTGTCTGAGCACGAGCATTATATATCTCTATTATAAGACCTACACAATTCAATACGTGTTTACCCTAGGCCCTCTATGAGAGAACGAATACAAGGAATAACTACAATTATTGATATTTAGGAAAGTTTATAACAAAGAAGGTATAAGATCGTGAAATTATTCACGAAAAGCAACCAATAGAGCAGACTCGCCTCCAAATTCTGCTGTTGAATACCAGTGAGAATAGTATTCACAAAAAAGAGCATCCACTTCCTCTTATAAATAGAGTAAAAAATCAGAGCACAAATCATTTTTATTGAAAATAGATAAGTCATATCAACATATATGACTTCCATCATGGTGATCCCTATAAATGTCATCGAATTGTATATCCAAAATAGAGTTAGGCATTTGCAATTTACATACTTTGTTCATAGAGACCATCCAGCCATTGCCCTTCTTCAGATTCTTAAGCTTTCTCAGAAAATACCTCATCAAAAAAAAAAAATTAACTGAGAAAAATGAAATGTTGGGCATCTCAATTCCTTAAATAAACTAAATAAAAACATGTGCACATATGAATGTGAAGCAAAGGACCCACAATTACAATTACTTTTTCATAGATAAATGGCTAAAGCAACAATCTGAAGTCCAAACCACAAAGAAACCTAAAGGCATTGTAGATGATTAAGAAAATGCAAGTTAAAATTTACCTCTCCAACTCCAATGCGTAAGACGCGTGGTGTTTAGTCCAGTAGAAATGTTCATCCATTCATCTGTAAGAGAAAATTCAAAACAACACGTCTCCCAAATGAAAGCACTATAGTAAATCTTGGATAAACAAAAGCAGTAAATCTTGCAAGTAAACATACCGGAAAAAGAACAAGAAAAATTAACAAAAAGAAGAAACTAAAATTATTATTATGTTTTTATTAGCGTAGAAAGAAAGGTAACTGGAAGAGTAAATGATTTCCAGTTATAATGTAAAACTTATGTTTGGTATGGAAACGAAAAGCAATTAGGCATGGAACCACTGTGCTTCACATGTATGTTGTGATTATATGCATCAGAAGAAGAAGATGCAGATATTGATTTACAAGGTCTTCACATGTATGTTGTAATTATATGAACTAATGGGAGTCATCAATTAGCAAATACAATATGGCCAAACTTGTATTATAGCGTAACTGATGAATTAATGGTTTCTTCTATTATAAAATTGAGCAGGACGAAAAATTAAATGAGGAATACAATAGAACAATAAAACAAAAGCAATATGTACAAAACAAGAAGAGAACCACTTCTCAGTTGCCCAAAAAACAAACAAAACCAAGATTACCAAAGATGCAACTACTTAGCAACCAAGTTTCATTTACCTAAAGATGTTATCACTCCAAAAACTGTGCCAATAAACAAAAAGGCCTTTTAGAAAGCATCAAAGGACTTGTTGCTAGAAATAGTCCCAAGTGTATCAACTGAATGTCAATTACAGTGCCAGCTGACAAGAGCAAAGAATAAAATGTAATTAACTATTTATTTCTAGACTAACAAGTAAAAGGGAAATTCTCAGTACAACAATTTGAATAAACCTAATTGAACCATGTGAAACAAGCCTCAACAATCTCAAAAGAGTTGTAAATAAGTAAACAATCTTGCATAACGAATAATAACTACTAAGTTCTAATTCATTTGCATACTTGCTATAATTATTAAAACAAGAGAAGTGTGACTTTTTTATTTAGCTTGAAATGAAACCAATAGAAAATTTAAAAATAGTAAGGAACACATTTGGCATGATTTAAGCCGATAGAATCAACCTTTGTAGCTGTTGGAAATGTTTATTGTCGTATGCTTTTGGTAATATCGTTTCTCTTGACTTTAATAGCTTATTATTTATATTATATGATGAATCATGATTGAGAGAGAAAGTATGCCATTTGACGTGTTTGAGTACGCAACTTATTCAAATAAATAAATATCTTTAATTTATGAGTTTATAGTTGCAACTTCAAATGTTATCACCAACCATTTGTGAAAACGTTAAACCATTAATGAGAAAAAGACTGGAAGAGACTGAAGATTTTGCATACAATTTCCTTGAAATTTTAGCAACACAATGTGAACAAGAAAATTAAGAAAGGAAGCAATGATTAAGTAGCTAATCATTTCATACTAAAACACATAAAGGCATAGAATAAGATTAAGGGCATGTTTGAAAAAAACTTTTGATTTTGCTCATGTTTCTTGTAAAAGAGTTTCCCGAGTAAGTTATCTTAAACTAACTCTCTAAAAGTCTTTCTAGCAAAACAAAACACTTCCACAAAATTATCCTAATATGTTTAAAAGCAACTTTTAACTTTATAAAAACCTTGTCAAACACCCTAACATAGACAAGAAAGCAAGAAATTTCACTCCTTAGCTGCGTCAAAAATTATGCATGATATTATATATCAAATTGAGTAAATATTTTATC